CGTCCCTTAGGTGTCTCCAAATGCCCTCCTAGTGTCTCCAAACTGCCCCCTCGGTGTCCGTAAGTGCCCCCCGGTGTCCCAAAACTGCCCCCCAGTGTCCCCAAACTCCCTCCTAGTGTCCCCAAATGCCCCGCCATGTCCCAAACTGCCCCCCTGGTGCCCCAAACCGTCCCTCTGGTGTCTCAAACTGCCCCCCTAGTGTGCCAAACTGCCCCCCCGGTGTCCCAAAGAGCCCGGTGTCGCCCCGCGGCTACCTGACGGACTTGCCCAGGATGTGCTTGTAGAAGGAGCGGGTGAAGTAGCACTCGAGCAGGCGGTTGTCGTACACGGCCTTGGCCACGATGCGCCCCACGAACTTGAAGTAGCTGAGGTGGTTGGGGTTGCAGTGGGACGAGGGGTTGATGGTGTAGGTGACGCGGTCGCCCGGCGACGTGCGGAACAGCGCGTACATGGGGTTGAACATCTCCCGCGAGATGATCATGTACCACTCGCGCAGCAGCCCCCCGGCGTCCTGGCCCTCCTCGCCCTCAAACACGATGTATCTAGGGGGGGATATGGGTCAGGGGGGGCCGTGGGACGCCCCCCCCCAGGCCGCGGGGTGCCGGCGGCCGCGCTCACAAGCGGTTCTTCATCTCCTCGGGCGACTTGCGGTGCAGCTCGCGGTAGGAGTCCTCGAAGACGTGGTCGCGCCGCACGTGCACGGCCATGTCCTCCTTGCGCAGCCCCTCGTCCAGGCGCTCCAGCTCCTGGCGGAAGTATCTGGGGGGCGGAGAGGGGACACGGGGACACGGTGACACCCCCGGCACACGCACACGTGGGGCTGGTGACGCTGTGACACCCCTGACACACACACATGTGGGGCTGGTGACACCCCCGACACACGTGGGGTGGTGACACCGTGACACCCCCAACACATACACGTGGGGCTGGTGACACCCCTGACACACGTGGGGCTGGTGACACTGTGACATCCCCAAGGTGTTGGTGACACCGTGACATGCCAATCACACATGGGGCCGGTGATACCGCGATGTCCCCAACACACACACGTGGGGCTGGTGACACTGTGACACTCCTGACACACGTGGGGCTGGTGACATGGTGACGCCCCCAACACACACACGTGGGGGTGGTGACGCTGTGACATTCTCAAGGTGTTGGTGACACCGTGACATGCCCAACACTCACGGGGCCAGTGACACTGTGACACCAACACCCACGGGGCCGGTGCCACCGCGGCGCCCCCAACACCCATGGGGCTGGTGACACGGTGACATCCCCAACACCCGCAGTGCCGGTGACATGGTGACACCCCCAACACCCCCACACAGGGCTGGTAACACTGTGACATCCCCAAGGTGTTGGTGACACCGTGACATGCCAATCACACATGGGGGCCGGTGACACCGTGACACCCTCAACACACACAGGGCTGGTGACACCGTGACACCAACACCCACGGGGTCAGTGACACCGCGACGCCCCCCACACCCATGGGGCTGGTGACACGGTGACACCCCCTACACCCACGGGGCCGGTGACAAC